GAGAAGAACAAAGTGCGAGAATCTTTGTTATTGTTATTACTAATTATATTATCTTAGTTCTAGAAAGCTTTATGCTAGTATAGAATTTCCCTTCAAATCTCCTTTATTATTTCTTTATTCTCTCTTCCCTTTGACTTTTACTCTCTTACAACTCTTCCACATTATTATTTCTTTTCAAGTAAACACAATTTCTGTAGAAATTGGCATAGACCTTAGATACCTTTCTTTTCTTCTTAATATTTTTTTTATCAGTTTATATCCTCTTCCAACCCAGATTCTCGTTTGTAAGCTAATTTAACGATTAGTGAACAAACTTGTAACAATATCTTTCTTCTCTCTTAATAATTTCTTTATCAGTTTATATCCTCTCACAATTCAAATTCTTGTTTATAAGCTAATTTAATGATTAGTAAACAAACTTATAACAACATTTTAGTTTTATTTATGTTATAAAATTATAAAAAAATATATATAAAAGATAAAAAAAATAAATAAAAAAAGATAGAAAAGGTAGAAAGTAAGAGTAGTAAAGGTAGAAAAGATAAATAAATAAGATATAAAAGGTAAGAAAAGTAGATAAATAAGGTATAAAAGGTAGGAAAGGTAAAAAAATAAAAAGAGTAGAAAAAGTAGAAAATAAAGATATAAAAGGTAAGAAAGATAGAAAATAAAGATAAAAAAAGTAGAAAAAATAAAAAATAAAGATAGAAAAGATAAATAATAATTATACAATTATTAAATAATTGATATGTATATGCTATTTTTATTAATTTGTTGTTTTGTTACTATTTTTAGATATTTTTATATTTTCTACTATTTTGAAAGATTTGTTAATTATGGAATTATTGAAAATAAATATAACAGTATTCACAAGTATAATATTACAAGTAAGAACTTTGTTATTTTTATTAAATTAGAAAATAAGAGTTTTTAGCAATGAGAGATTCATCTTTTATATACTTTTAATAGTTTCTTCAATTTATATGATTAATAATTATTCTAAATTATATCACTATTACAGATAATACTAAACAACACTTAAAGAGAAATAAAAACTAAAAATAATTAAAAATTACACAAGATGATAGAAAATAAAATACAAAAGAAAGTTAATATGAATATTAGTGATTAGAGATAAAAAAATTATAAGTTCATAGTAAAAAAAAGATTCTAAAGAAAAGTCAAATAGATAAATAAGGTAAAAAAGGTAGAAAATGAAGATAGAAAGAGTAGAAAAGATAGATAAATAAGGTAGTAAAGATAAAAAAAATAGAAAATAAAGATAGAAAGAATAGAAAGATAGATAAATAATTATTATACAATTATCAAATGATTGATATGTATATACTATTTTTATCAATTTGTTGTTTTTATTACTATTTTTGAAGATTTTCTTATTTTCTATTATTTTTAAAAGATTCGTTAATTACAAAATTATTGAAAATAATTGTAACAATATTTATTTATACTTCCAGTTTGTTAAAGTATCTCAAGTTCATTTTGTCATTGTTCAACTTTATGAGAAGTGTGGAATTTTAAGACAAAGTATGTTTAAAATCATATTCATCATTTGCAATATTTGTCCAGCTAGTTAAGATGAGAGTATTGTTGACAGCTCATTGATCAAACCAAGTGACAGCAGCACCTTTCAGGTATTCACGCACTATTTGAATTTTATATGTATCAATAACTCCATTGGCAGTAACAGCAACTTCAAAGTCTTTGAGCCATTCAACAGGATCTTGATTATTACCTTTGAATTTGCGAATTGGAATATAATTCTTCTCAGCTCTTAGTCCAATATTGAGAGCAGCAGTAAAAGTATTTAATTCATAAAGAATATCATTTAGATCAATAGTTATTTCTTCATTTTCAGATTCTTTAGTTACTTCTTCAGGTTCAGAATTTAATTCTTTTTCTGATAATTGTTCTTAATCAGAAATATCCAGTTCTTTTTCAGTATCAGTTTGTATAATTAGTTGTTCTTAGAAGTCAATGCCTTGTTGTTCTTTTGTTTGTTCTTTTTCTACTTCTTTAATAATTATTTGTTGATCTTTTACTATTTCAATATTGCTGGTAGTTTCAAAATAATAATTTTTAAATGTGTTGGAATCTTTCTCAAATTCCAGATTATGAAAGTCTTCAAGTGTTTTTTTGACTAATAATAGTTGATGATTAACTATATGTTTGTTTTGATAAATTAGAATATTTAATAGTCAAATTACCCATCTTCACAATTTTCCAGTTCCAATAATAATAAGTTTTGCTTTGTAAATATTTTCAAATAGTTGTTCAGTAATAAAGAATTCAGATATTGCTTCTCGTTCTTGGATCCAAGTGAGAAAGTTTGCTAGAAGTTTAATTATTGTATCAGAAAGTGAAAAACAGATATGACAATAATATTATTGATCTATTCAGAATGTTGTATCTTGATATTGAACTTCAAGATGAGTATTAAGTGTAAGCTAATAGATTCTCCAATAAAGTTATAATAATCATTTATAAAGGGGATTTAAATATAAAAGGGATCTTTGAAATAATAATCTCCACAGAGAGAGCACCAAAATGTTACAAGTTTGTTTACTAATTATTAAATTAGCTTACAAACAGAATCTGAGTTGGGAAAGGATATAAACTGATAAAGAAAATATTAAGAGAGAAGAGAGGTATCTAAAACCTATGCCAATTTCTACAGAAATTGTGTTTACTTGAAAAGAAATAATAATATGAAAGAGTTATGGGAGAATAAAAGTCAAAGGAGAGAGAAAATAAAAAAATAATAAAGGAAATTCAAAGAATAATTCTATACTTACGTAAAATTTTCTAGAACTAAGATAATATAATTAGTAATAATAATAACAAAGACTCTTTTACTTTGTTCTTCTTACAAGTAAGGAATATTCATTAATAATAAAAAAATTCAAAATAACAAAAAGTAAAAATATTTATAATTCAATTTCAATAATTTCTAATACAGCAATTTGTTTAGTACAATATGATATAAAGCTTAATAATTTAATAATAGCAATTTGTTCAGCACAATACAATATAAAGCCCAAAGTCAATAACAGTAATTTGCTCAGCACAATATGATATAAAGCTGTCAGCAATTTGATAGGTTCAATACGATATAAGATTACTTATACATAAGATTTGAAGTGTATAAAGAAAATATAAAAGACAGAAAGTATTTTGAGGAAGATTTTTGTTAAGAGAGGTTTTTATTTTTAGTTACAACATATTGAGTTAAGATTCAGATAGCATCTCTATTTATATATTTTTCGAAATTACAAAAAGTAAAATAAATAATTATAAAAATATATAAAAGTGAAATAACTAGTTATAAGAATGAAAAATGAAAAGTGAAATTTTGAAAAGTGAAAAATAAAAAGTAAAAAATTAAAAAGTAAAATAATAAAAGTGAAAAAATATATATAAAAGTGAAAAATAAAAGTGAAAAATCAAAAAAATGAAATAATAAAAGTGAAAAAATATTAAAGAATTTTATCATTATATAAATATTTTTAAAATTTTCATGTTTTTTGATTATTTTTGAATTTGTAATTTTTATATTACTATTATAACACTATCCTTACTTTCTACCTTTTTTACCTTTTTTATTTACCTTTTCTATCTTTTTCTATTTACTTTTCTACCTTTTATATATATTTTTTTATAATTTTATAAATAAATAAAACTAAAATATATTGAGAAATTTTGTATAAATAGGAGTGCTCTCTCTCATGTTTTAATCGCATGTTTCAATACTTAAAACAAATTAATAAATTTTAATTTTGATATAATAAGTTAACAATTATTTTATTGTTATAAAATTAATATTTATTTTTGTATTTTTTTCTATTGAAACAAGTTATCTGGCAAAAATAATTTGTTGATTGAACTTCAAATCTTGTAATTCAAGTTACTTTTCATAAATCTTGAGTGAAATTAAGAAACTGAATATTGATTTGTGTAAAATTGAATTTTTAATTATTACTTTTGTCTTTGAATTTGAAAAAGATGGTTAAGTATTTTTGGATAAGTATATTAATTTGCTATAGCATTATTTTTATATAGTTGTGCACCACAACTTTAAATAAGTGATATTGATTTGTATAGTTGTGCACTGCAACTTTAAATAAGTAATATTAATTTGTATAGTTATGTATCGCAACTCTAAATAAGTAATATTTCTTTTAGTTATTCATTTTCTTTAGTATTGAAAGTACTAGAACGTATGACTACAAGTATAGAAATATCAATACTCTTTATCTTAGTTAGTAATTTATTTTTATTAATTATCTCTTTGAACACACTCTTTCAACCTCTCTTTTTATCTTTGATAGAATTGTTTAACAATTTCTGTTGAAATTGGTACAGATTTAGATACTTATTTTTGCACTGACCAATTTTATTAGTCTATTCCTCTCTCTCAACTTATATGACTCTCTTACTAATAGTGAAGAAACCCTTCATTTAAAGTAATCATAGCAATACATTATTATTTTGGTGATCATCTTCAAATCTTGACTCCAAGTGGTATATGCTCTTCCACTCTAAATAAGTTGTTGACTTTATTATTTTTGTTTATTTTGATTTTATTATTTTTAGGCTATATCAATAAGTTCTGGTTATTTTAGTTATTTTGTTTTCATTTTCTTTATTGACATTCTCAATAAGTTCAATTGTTATTTTATTTTGTTAGGCATCCTTAATAAGTCCTGTTATTTCTTTAATAGTTATTCTTTCTTTTATTCTTTTTAGTCAATTTCCCTCTTTGTCCCTATTTTTACCCTTGATAATAAATTAGTTTGCATACAAGCTACCACAGGATACCTTTAGAATCTTTAGTGAACCCCATTAATCATAAATCATTCAGTCTTTGTTCTTTCTTTCACTGTGATGTTACTTTGTTAATTCATTAATTCTTGAATTAACGAGAATGATCAAGCACGTGTTGATTTCTTACAAATTTTAGCACTTATTATTCCAAGGCGAATATTCTTGGCAATCAAGAAAAATCGACTGAAGATCAGAAGAGAATTTCCGACACTTGAAATTCAATATTGCTTAGAAGCTCAAAGCAATTTCTTTTCAATTGAAATTATATTCGAGGAAAAACTGTTGCTCACTGTTCATAGCAGAGTAACAGAGCGTTGTGTAATTGTTGCGTAAATCTCACTGCAAAAAGCCAATTTAGATGTCCAAATTCAGATCGCAAAGAGGTGTATCGTCATGTTTGTTGTTATCAAGCGTTTGAGTTATTTCACAAACCATCATGCGGAAAAGATATATCTGATAGTTTAACCGCTATACAAACGGAAACATCAACCATATCGCTCAAATATCCACTTGTTGTCAAGCTCTTCGCTATTGCGAAACTTCGTGACATCATTCCATTGGACATCAAAGAGATCAAACATATGGTTAGTTGGGCAGTGCAACATGAAGCAATGATTCGACTTCTGTGTACGTATATCTTTTATTATTGAAATTCAGAAGAGATTAACATTAATGTCGTATTGCGATAGATACAGTGGCCCGTCAAATGTTTTGCATCACACAAAAAATAAAATTGTAAATTCAATAACTTTACATACAAACATCTGAAACTCACGAATTCCGACGCATATTGTTTACCAAATGTTGCAAAACATGTAAATATAATTCTTTATTTAGTTAATAATCACTAAATTGAAATAATAATGATCGACGCAATTTTACATGATTGACTGTTTACGATGCAAATAATAATTTAAAACCGATATTTAAATAACTAACGACTAAAAATTTACGAAATTTAAATAAACTATTCTCACCACTCTGTATACCCTCCTTTAGCCTCAATTACATCATTTATTCGTTCGGACATACTTTCAATTAGACTAGTTAAAAAGTTATGATCTGTTTCTATTCATATTTTTTGAATAGCTTCCCATAACTCATCTTAGTACGAACTGGATTTTCTAACCTTCTCAAACGTATATCCATCTCATTCCAGAGATGTTCTATAGAGTTGAGGTCGGGAGATCGTGATGACCATTCTAGTACCTTAATATCATTATCGTAAAACCATTGCTCTGTTAAATTAGCCGTGTGCTGTTGGAAAACGATCGCTGAAATATTACATTTTTGTAAATTATATGTTGATTTATTTCCCAAAATAGTAATTAAATGAATTTTAAGGAACTTCTAGTTTCCCTTTTTGTATATATTTATTTGCACATGTTACGTAATAACATGTAAAATCACGAGATATTACCATTATTCTTTTTTAATTTACGTGATGCAAAACATATGACGGTCACTGTAAGCTATTGATAATACTGTGGTTGGGGAATATAATTTAGCATATTGAAATTATCTTTTATTCTATTCAAGTAGTCTTTTATTCCCTTAATATCAAAGCTTAAATCCATAGTAAATACAATACTCTAAAATCATGTTTCATTTTTACAAGCTTTTAAATGCAAGCCAAGTAAATTCGGAATTAAGACATCCTTTTTAAGTTTTTTTTATCGTTCCATAGCCGTGTAATAAAGCCGAATTTTTAGACTGGGATATTTCGTCATAAAATTTCTCTGTCAATTTTATCACAATCTCAAAATAAATTCCGGATAAGGATTCACATTTTATATTTCAAACTAATAAATTTTTCGGATTAAAAAATCAAAAATTATTTTTAGGGTATTATTTGATTTTTTGTTGTGCGTTCCCTTAATATTTAGCAAAAAGGATTTATTTTGGTTGGATGCACCAGATTGTTACGTTTATTATAACAATCAATTCGATTAATGAATTTTCCGCAACGGAGATGAGAACTAGACTGAATTATTTACGGTGGAAGGGTTTCTTCGGGTGTTCCTATGGTGACTTGTACACAAATCGACCTTTTCTCAACAATAAGACGGAAAAGAAGGGGGTGTTTTGAAGAGTAGATAGAATGAAATCACTCCTGTAACAAGAATCAATTCGATATAATAAAATCTTATTTATTTTCACAATTCACAAACGTGACAGGACTTATTGATATGGTCAGTCCAATAAACAAAATCAATTCAACAGGACTTATTGATACGGCCTGTACAAAGAAAAATAAAAACAAAATAACAGTTCAAAGGAAATCAACGGCTTATTTAGAGTGGAGGAGAATCCACTACTTGCAATTTCTCGCAAGGTTGAAGTTTGATCACAAAACAAAGAAAATAATAGTGTATTTACAAGTAATATTATTATTACAAGTAAGAACTTTGTTATTTTATTCGAGCAAAGCATGGTCAAAGCATAGACTCAAAGACGCTTCTATATTCAATTTTTAATTTTTAATTACTACACTAATTCTAAGGTTAGTAATTTATATTGATGGTTTCTTTTAAAATGATCAAGCATCAATCGTTCAATGTCTTTCAATTGTCCAGATGATTGTCGTCCTTTTTGATAGTTACTATCGTTACGTGCATCAATAATCGTTTGATGTTCTTCGATTGTCCAAATGATTGCTGGGATAATTATCGTCCTTTCGATAATCACTACGTGCATTAATATTTGAAGAACGACCGGATATTCATAATACAAAAAAAAAGGTAATACGTGTTCATTCGTAACGAAATACATATATTTCTAAACTTGGCTTTCAATATGAATTACACGAGACTAAATTGTCGAAGGATTATCGTGTGTAGATCATTATGAGGAGATATTCATGTAGGAATTAAGGGTCAAAATTATGAAATCGAAGGATTTAATATAAAGATTATTTTATAACTATACACTTTAACAGCAGGTTCCGGCTTTTTTATTAATAGTTCGTAATAAAGGTTTTTTAAAAAATCTTCGTTATATAGAAAGATCCATTCAAGTAAATCATCGTTAAGGTGAACTTCACTGTGTATATACATAGTAATTGCATAATTTAAATTTTTTGCACTTGATTTGTAAAAAATTCAATCGAAAAATTAATGTATAACAGTTAATTAAATAAATAGTAAAATTCAATCTTCTTCACGTTCTATAAAAGGGAAACGGAAACGAACAAGCCAAGTTTTGAAGTAGATTTAGTAAGAGCGCTTAACGTTAAAGAGTTATATTTCACTTCACTTTTGAATTACCTTCTGAATTTACATGTTTAGCAAATTTTAAGTGTGCTTACCATTAATTAACCGATTATTTGCCAATTGGGTCGATTATGTACTGGTATTGTACAATTGATTTTTAGCGTCAATTTGCTTTGCTGTCGATCAACCAATTATTTGCTTGCTTGATTAACTGATCTCAGCGTCTTGTATACAGTCGGCTCTCTCTACAACGAACCTCTTTTCAATGAACTCTGGATATAACAAACCTTAAATTTTTAAATTTTCTATTAGTTCATTATAGAAAAAGTATCGAGTTCTATACAAAACATAGTAATTTTATATAACGAACTTTTTTTTACTAACAGAACCGCCAGTTCATTATAGAGAGTTGACTGTATATATGTTGTCAATTTTTAATTTCAATTTAATTGGATTTGACGGATTAGTTCCTGTATTTAAACACCCTACCCAATAATATACATCTATATACGTACGTACGAATAGTGTACATATTATAAATACGTTAATACGTAAATGAAATGAAAATATCTACAATATAAAATCAATAACCTTAATAAAATAAACAAGAGATAAATAAAGGCAACCTAAAACTTCCGCAAAAATAATAAATACGGAAGACCACAACAGAATTTCTGATACATTCAACTCCTTTGCCGCAATGTTTGCTAGTGTATTAATTGATGCACTGTTACTTTATCACTACGATCATCACCTTTAGTCTTTGCAAAATTCGATTCTCCAAGATATCCTGTATAAACTATCTACACATTTTTCAGCAACGGAAACGATATGATTGAGTAATGTCAATTATTTTATGAACGCGTTCAAGATTTTGAAAACAATCGACGTGAATTTTCGGTTATTACTAAGGAATCAAGTTCGTTGACTTTGGCAATGAGGTTGATCGAAGTTGAGTATTTGGCGCAATATTTAAAGTGCCACCAATCGTTTCGAGATTTAGAATTAAAAGCGATTCGAAATTGTTGCGTTCTAGTTTTATATTCGAGCTGACTTTTATTAAATACGCAAAATCCATGGATGCCGAATTTCGGATCGTTGCTTGTCCGATTTCAACCAAATTTCGAATCTAAATACAAGCTATTATTAGCCTTTATTGAAATGATACACATGAAGAAGGAAGAAATATTATCAAAAGTAGAAAATTTTTGCGCCATTTCCAGAAACATTAGCCGTCTTAACTTTTCTCAATGCCGGAAAATTCGCTTGTCTCAAGTTGGCATTGCTCTTAAGCGATTTCGTTAACCCCATCCAGATTTTTGATCCCGGTATTTGTCACTTCAATATTATTGACATGAGTCAAGCGAGCTGGAAAGAATAACGAACCCAATAACGGTGAATCATTCAGATTAAATGTTGAAGCAGCGATTAGCGAAGGAAATTGCACAGATTGTGAATCGTGGTTATTGTTCACGACGATATTCGTGGCATTTTTTTTAAGTATGGGCACGAAATATCAGTGAGAACAGGGTTGCTTTGAATTTCGATATTTCCGCGAAGATTTTTAATGTATGTACTAGAGATTGATATCGTCGCAGTAAATGTTAAACAATCGCGTAGATTTTCAAGGTCAGCTTGTGTTTGGACTTGTAAATTGAGCTGTAAAAGAAACAAAAGTTCGTTTAACCTTTATTAGAAGAAACATAATGATGATCTGAAATAAAAAAATCAAAGATATTTTATAAATTGAAAAATGTTATGATTATTCATGATTTAGAAACATTGATATTTGAAATCCGTAATTAAAATTTTTGATTGTATCTTGAATATGAATGTTGTATATACAATTGTAAAATTACGTATATCGATATATTGTTGCTATTGGTGAATTGATTAAGTAGATAGACGCAAAATTTTCACATAAAAATAAATTTAAATTCGAATTCTAACAATAAACTTTCGTATTACAAATAACGAAAATAATGAAGAATTTGGAAGCAAGAATTAGAACGATACGATTTTCGTTTTTATTCACGTATTTTGTATTTGATACTCAAGGTATATTTATTCACTTTACATTGATTTGCTTGTACACTCTGAATAAACTTGGACCTTATTTATATAGTAAAATCAAATAGTTGCAAAGGTGACATCAAAATAAATACTCAACACGATCTAGACGTACTTGGAAATTGCCGCTTGTAGTAAGGCACCATCGATATTTCTGAGACAAACCTTACCGGTGTCATAATCCCACACATCAAATCACTCCACGGGTCACTCAACATAAAAGATAACACAAGACTCGTCGAAATTTCTACGTTCACTCTAAAAGTGCAACCGATTTCATTTCCGAAGGAAATTTGAATTTGACTACGATTAATTTGCCTAAATTAAGAACAACTACAAAGTCATTTAAAGTAGAAAATGCACCATTTCCGAAAACTATTTTTTTCCTATACGTAGTTTGGTTTGATTGAAGTAGGAAATTTTCATGTTGATAGAACAGGAATTATTGGTACCGTCGCACTCAACACGTACGTACATTGGAGTTATTGAATAATGTTAGTCTGGATCGTGTATCGTTACCTAAATTGCACTCCGCTAATTTTATCCGAATCTATAGAAATGGGAATTACAATTTCATATTTGAGGTAATATATTCGAGGTAATAGTCTTCAAAAAGGCAATATTTTTTAATTTCTGTTACTACATGTATAATGTACGTGACAAGGTTACAGCTCTCGGAAACCATATTTCAAAATATCGACACACTTTTTAGTCCGCTTCTTCAAAGAGCTTCATCACCTTTAACATTTACCGAGAATACAATTACAAATCTATCAATTCCCAATATGATCCAAATTTATCCTCACATTGAACCCACAACTCGAATCAATTTCATTCTCATCACTCAATCATATCGGCGGAAACCTTACAATTGGGAAGAATCCTCGTTTTCGAATAATCAATTAACTAAACAAGCTTGAAAAACTTGATAAAAAAATACAACTTACTGGAAATTTTTCGAAATTCTTTTTAATCGTTAAAGGAATTCAAGGATGGACTCTTTATTCAAACAAGTAAACAGAAATCACTTGCGCTGATATTTACCATTTACGTGGAGGCAATGTAATTGTGATCAACACTGGTCGAAAAGAGTAGGTTTCACCTTGGGTAAAAACAATACAAATTTCCCCTTGTTTTTGCATATGGGTTAATTTTTTCAAAAAGTTGCATACCTATTTTTAAAATAAGATTTACAAATCGTGTTAACAATAAATCCACGTGAAAAATGTATTAACCAATCATCTTCAGATCGCCGACCAAATTTCTTTGTGTCAAAACTGACAAATCGTAAATAACTAAAGTTTTATTAGCAAACCCCAGGCTGAGTGACGAAGAAAAAATGCTCAGCGTGCAATTTTTGATATAATCTTTGACCCAGGTGTATACCTATTGATCGTGTAAAGGCTACTAAGGCAGTACTCTTATCGACTTCAGATTGCGGTGTAACAATAATTCATCGAAAGTAGTTTTGACATGATAAACCTGACATCTGGGTCTATCTTGTCAAAACTCAATACAAAAATATGGGTTAATTTGTCAAAATGTTGCAATTCCATACTTATTTTTACCTGTAACATAAAATGTAAGTTTGAAGTTGAGTCACCAAATGAGTATGAGCATGGATATTCAATTATTGAAAATGATCACTTGTGGTCTCTTTTGCTAGAATTTCGGATACAGAAGTAAGTCAGAGCGTCTATCTTGGTTTTGTAGGAATGTACAAATCAAGTAGAAGTTAAAGCTTGATAAAGATATTTATCTAGAATAGCTAAATTTTCAAGTATTGCATTTATTTATAAATTTCAATAGTTTATTATACAATATTACCGTTATGGTCTGGTGCAAAAAGATTTGTACCTCAAAATAAAAGTTATTCAGAATTTAACTAATATCGATAAATTTTTTTATATAAATAAAGAATAATCTAAACTAACTATTTATATTATTTTTATAATTCTTTGTGCTGTTACTCAATAATAAATGAAGCAACACTTTTCTAAAATAAAATAAAATAAAAATTTATTTTATTTTAAAAATACATTTTTATCAATTTGCAATATTAGAATGTCAAATTATGCAAGCATATTGCTATATTTGATAAAATATATTTCAAATTTCATAAGATTGAATCAGTAGTTATTGCGAAATTAAGTCTCAAGTTTAACAAGTAAATTATTTACTATATACATTTTATATAAATTTTATATACGTACAGTGCAGGTCACTTAGTCACTTAGTCACACACAAAAAATTTAACTTCAAATTATATCAGAGCCCTCAAAATAATTCAGTAAAATTCATTTGAACGGACTTGTTCTTTTTCGCATTTGTAAAAATACTTTGTTGTGCAGTTGGTCTGTTTTCTACAAACATTTTTCAATAATAAATTTGCACCATCCGAGAACATTATTAGGTAACGTAGGTCGTACTCCGTTATAAAGGTCTAATACGAGAACATTACCATAACTCCGTTCAGCGAATGGTCGTTTACCTGTGATAACCTTGTACGTAAGATCCCGAAGCTATAAATATCTGCAGCTTTAGTGTATGGTTTTCCATTTAGTACCTCTGGACTCATATAAAGCGTCGATAATGTAAGACTCCTTGGGTGCGAAATTCGGGACGTAAGTGATGTGACAGTAATGCCGATTCCGCAAGGTCTGGCTCCAATAAAATACCACAAGATCATACTTATACTGGTGACCTTCTGGTTCTCTGGCAGGAATTTGACCACCTATTTAAAGAAAAACGGAAAACGCATTGAGTCGTTAATGCATCCCTGTCAATTCACTCCGTCCATACCTAAAAAAATAATAGTTAAGCTGGGAAATGTTAGATTGTCAATTTCTTATCCTTTTCTCTGGCTTCGCCTCGAAGCCTTCGAGCATATGAGATCCTTCAGAAAATGCGAAAGAATTTAATGGCGAAATTTTTTGTTTCTCTATCAGTAATATCCTTAAAATACGCGTCAAACAGCATGATGGCTCTTTTTTATTGGTCAAGAGACTCAATTTACAATAGGCACAGATAAAAAAAATCGATGCTGAATTAGTTGTAGAAAAATCAGTTGCGTATGCATATAAAACCACACATAGCGGAGTGTGTATAATCAGACCAACGGAAAACATATAACTGTTTTTTTACCGACGAGTTAAAAATTATATATTTGGAAGGTTTTCGGAAAGAACGTAAAAAAGTGGTATGTTTACTTAGAAGGTTACATTCACTATTTTAAATTACTAAAATTGTATTAGTTCTTTCGTCAGTTCTTCTTTCTCCTCCCATCAAAATAGGAATTCATCATGTTTGTAACCAGTCCAGTGGGATGAAATAGAGAAATTTGTGGAGTAATTAGATCGGTAAGATTTTTGGTCAATTCGGTATTAATGGTTTTTGTATACGCCGAAGACTAATAGAGTTGGGAATACCATTAAGTGGAAAGTAGTAAAAAATCAGAAGCTGGTAGTGACTGTGAGTATCAAAATGCGCGCGTGCAATAATTAGAAAAAGTTGAAATGCGAGATCAGTACACATCTCCATACCAAAAGTTACAAAAAAATTAATTACCATTTTGGCCCTTTCTAATATCTTTTCCCTTCCTAAGATTTGAACGTAAACTAACGCAACTAACAGGGCATTAATCAATTTTCTACTCTCTATAGAGACGTTCATATTCACATTAGAATATATTAATACTCCATGTAAATGATAAATGGTAAGTCATTGTAAAACCACAAAAACTTACTCGCAATAAAACTGCGAAAAGTTATCAGTTCCCTGTTATCAAAATGCTGTTACAGCTGCTCTACGACTTGTTTATATACTACACAAGATTTTTTGGAACGATTCGAAGGATGGTGGGAAATTTATGAACATGTTAACTCGTTTCTGTTACGGTAAGAGAAACTTCAAAATTGCACTTGCTACATGTTTTATGAATTTATGAATGAACTAATATGATTCATAAAACTGTTACAGTTGCCGAAAGACAAAATTTCCCAACAATACTGCCAACAGTATTCCCCATAATTATTGGAATTAAATCAAGATTATGCAAACATACTCCTCTAATTCCTTTCGTATAATAGCAAAAATTTAACTCCTAAAACAATAAAATTTATATTTTTTGTTGGATTTTTATCTGTGAAATATTTGCATTTACAATATTCAGCGACAAATTATTATTTTAAGGGAGGGAGAAGTAGAACCGATGAAAGAACTAATACAATTTAATAATTTCAAAAAAGAACTTGATGGTGAATATAGTCTTCTAAGTAAATATACTCCTTTTTTACGTTCTTCCAAACCCCCTTCCGAAAACCCTCCTGATATCCCTCTTGAAATCTTTCCAAATATGCAATTTTGACTTTTCGGTACGAAAATGGTTATATTTTCCGGTCTTCTGAATTCAAACTTTCATATGCCTTTTGTAAAGTGATAGTGTTGGTGGTTAATATACTTGATTAAATCAGAAAACTATTACGTGCCCTACAATCTTACCGTTAGCTGTCGAGGCCACAACTTTGTCTAAGGCGATAGTGCTGGTTGTTAATATACAGACAAACCTCTCTAAATGCACCCCCTGGGACCATAGTAAAGCGTGCATTTAGTGAAGGTGTGCATTTATAGCGGGAAAAATATATAGAGCTGGGACCATCCATGCTGTGCATTTAGAGAGGGTGTGCACTTATAGAGGGTGCATTTAGAGAGGTTTGTCTGCACTTGATTAGATTTAAAATTACTACGTGCCCTGCAATATTACCTTTAGTATTGAGGCCATGGAGTCTAATTCGATAAAATTATAATCATCAATAATTATCACCAAGTGGTGATGTTCAACAAAAGCATTAGTCCATTCATGTTTTCCAACTTCATTTAGATATTCAGCATGATTTCAGAATTCAAGTCTTACTTTATAGTCCTGGAAATCCAGCTATATTTTCAAAGGGAAATATTTTTAAGAGTGTAGTGCAAGAGAAGAGAGTGATTTTCAGAAGCTATATATGTGAAAACTATCGACTAAGCCAATTTAACAAGGCAAAAAGAACTTACTCCGCTATTTGTGGTTAGTGCTCCAACCGGGTCGGGTCCAATCCGTGACCCGACACGGAACGCACATTTAGGGTCAGCCTAAAAATCATTGTTTCTCATTCAATATTAATTGAAATTAAACAAATATTTGTGGATATATACACAATTACATTCCGAACAACTCTACTTAGGACACAAAATACAAGTGTCTTAGTAAAAATAAACGTTATTACTGAAAAACTATTTTACGATTTTCGGGTCAAACCCGACCCGACCCGAACAGAGCTTTATACTGTTTACATGTAATTACAACTACCCTAGCCACGGCGAAAAAAAGTGTCAGATCATGTGATATTTGTATGTCCGGAAAAAGTCAAGGGTTAGGGCTAGAAATGGAGCCAAAATCATATGTAAAATTGTTTTTCCGACATTTCTTTAATGTACAAGCTAGATTTAGGCATCTGTTTCCCGTATTTTTTATATGTTTGGCTTTTTTCATTTTTTGTTTTGCCGGACTGATCCAAAATTTACGTATTCTTATTGGTTTGTGCCATTAGCAGCACGAGATTTGACACTTTTCGCCGTGGCTATGGTGCATAAAATCTAAAGTCATCAAACGTTTGTATTTTATAAAATGTATAAACTTCTTTACTAAGAAGTAAATACAAAATTTAATCTGTAAATATGCTCAGAAAAGGCCTATTCTATCATATTCATGGATTAAATTTTGTATTTACTTCTTATTAAAGAAGTTTATACATTTTATAAAATACAAGATTTGATGACTTTAGATTTTATGCATCACAAAGTACTGTTACCATTGATTTCATAATGTAGACAAAAGATTAATCACAAATATTATAACTTCACAATAGAAATGAGAGATTATAAATTAAATAACAATAATAACTTTACAATTAATATGAGAGATTAAATAAAAAATAAAAAAAATTATTAAAAGAATAGAAAACTAAAACTACTTTACTTTAACTAAGAATACTTGCCAAAATCTCTTCAAAAATATTTCAGCAGAGTTTTGATGGATTATATACTAATTATTAATTAGAATTTCAGCAAAATTTCAGTTTTAAATTTAGCAAAATTCTGATATTTTATTTATTATAATTTCAACAGAATTTAGATGATTATTAAAAGATTTTGACAAGCATCCTAAACTTTAATTTCTATTTTTTTGTTAAACTAAGATATATATAATATTTATAAATATTTATTAAATAGTAAATAATTATTTAAAATAATTATTTAAAGTGATTATTTGGAATAATCATTTAAAGTAATTGTTTATTACAAATAATTATTTGAAATAATTATATGCAATAATTGTTTATGATAATCATATTTATAAAATATCAAATTATAATAATATTTATCAATCTTTGATTGAACTTAAATTAGATTCAAACTTGTATAATAATTCAATTTGAGTTTGATTCAAACTTTGAATTTTTTTTGAACTCAAGCCAAAATTTGATTTGAATTTAATTCAAATTTTAAATCATATTCAAATTAAAATAAAAATTAGTTTAATCTAATTTATAGAAAAACTAATTTTGATTTTTAGTTTTTTATTTTATTTTTTCATTTTTATATTGTCATTCTTGAAGTTTTAGTATATATTAATTTCAAATGGCTTTTAATTATTTTTTTTAATTTTTTATTTTCACTTTTTATTTTCATGTTATTATTTTTGAAGTTTTATTATATATTAATTTCAGATAGCTTGCAATTATGTTATATTATCTAAGAACTTTATTGATAAATTTTTTTCTCACTTTCTCAAATTTAATCAATTCTTGTTTAACTTATTCTTCTTTTATTTAGATAATTTCTTTTATTTAATATTTATTATCACTTCTAAAAATTATATAATTATTATTGATAATAATTTTATTATAATAATTATTTAATCTTAACTTATTTATTAATTATTGATAAGATAAATATAATATTTTAATAAATAAAAATACCAAAAGAAATTAAAAAAAATTATTTTTCTTATAATTTTTAATAATAATTTATTATATCTTTTGATAATAATAGTTATTTCTTTTTTTAGACAAGTTATTTACTTGCTTTTGTCTCTTTATATTAAATATTAACAAAATATATTTAAATAATTTCTTATTTAATTACTTTAAAAAATTTTTTTTGAATAAATAAAGTATAATTAAATTAATTTTTTCTATTGAATATATAATATATATTAAAATAAAGAATATATAAAATCTATCAAAAAGAACAGAACAAGAAATTATTCTAGTTAACAAAATAAATTATAATTAGTAAACTAATATTAATAATTTTTAAATTCAGAAACTTTTAAAGAATAATTATCAAGAATTTTTTTTAAACCAATTCTATTAAAAATATTTTTTTAGTTTATTTTGAAAATATATTTAATAAATATAATATAAAAATCAATAATATAAACTATAATTAATATAATTTTTACTTTGAATTAATAAATATAATAATTGAAAATTAATTAATAAAATTATTTTTATATAATCTGTTTTAATTTTGATCAAAATATATAAAAAGTATCTGATTATAACTTTTTTATAAAATTTTTTTAAAATTCTAATTAATAATTTGATAAAATTTATCTTAAAAAACAATATTATTAGTTTAGTTTTTCTAAATTCTTTTTTTATAAAGTGCTAATAGATTTTAAGTTACTTAATTTTATTAACTAGTTAAAATATTTTATATTATATTAATATTTACAAAAAATATATAATTCAAGTTATAGTTGAATCTTGACTCAGCATGTCAAAACTTGAAAATAAATAATATAATAAAACAAATATCTTTTAATACTTAATAATTTTATCTTTTTCTCTTAATTATATACTTAAAACTTATAAGTAAATAATTTTAAATTATATTAAGCTGATTAAAATAATATTATCGAATTATTAAATTTATCTTTTATTATAAACTAATCTTTTGATATTTTTGTTATATTAAATTATTTGAAATTCTTTAACTAAAGATATTATAATTTTTCTTGTAAAAAGAATGAAATAAAAGAATTTTTATTATTTATTTAACTCTAAAATATATTTATACTAGTACAAAAAATTATTTGTTTGCTCTAAAATATATTATATTAGTACAAAAAATTTATCTATTAAAATTAAAATATTATTTATTAATTAAAATAAAAAATTTATTTATTAAAATTAAGTAATTTTTTTGATGATTTTTTTATTTTTTTTATTTATTATAATTAATATATAGTAAAAATATAAAAAAAATAAAAAAATAATAGTTACAAAAAAAAATAAATATAGAAAGTATAAATCTTTATTAAAAAAATAAAATATTTGATATGTATTTGATTTACCTTCATTTTTTATTATTTTCTTCTTATTTATTATCTACTTATTATATTTTTTTTATTAATTATTTTTATATAATAGTTTTTTATTGTACATTTTCTGTATTATTATCATAATAATTATAATAATTACTAATAGCTGGTTATGCTTCCTCTATTTTTTTTCAAGCTTTTTTTACTTTTTTTTGAGCTTTATTATAAATAAATTCTTTGTTATATACTTTTAATCATCCACTATATGCTTTTTATTTACTAATTCTTTTTTAAAATTACTATATTTTTCATTATTTTTATCTTTTTAAAAGAAATTTACTTTTGGATATATATTTATCTTTATAATTTGCAATTTTTTTTAATTAATCGATTAACTCTTTTAATTAGTTGATCAGAAAATAATTAATAATATTATTTTAAAAAAGTAATAATCAAAAATTATTCTCTAATTAGATCTTATTTTTTAATTAAATCTTATTTTTTAGTTTTATAAATAATTCAAAAACAAATATTCTATCTGATAAAGAAAAGATAAAAGTTATTTTTGAATTATTACTATTATTAAATATATATTAACTAAGTTAAAAAATAATTAATTAATTATTTTAGTAATATTAAATTTGAGAAATATAAGTATTACAGATATTTTCTAAAAATTTTTGTTTAATAAATTTAAAATTTAATTTATATTTTAATAGTATTTTTGTATTTAAATATAAAATTCATTGAAAAAAACTTGTTAAAGATGAAAATTATAAGATATTTTTTATATTGATAACTATAATAACAAATTTTAGAGCTAATTATTGGAATTATTATTAAAATTATACATGAATTTTAAAATATATTTAATATTATAAATACTATTAATTATTTTTTAAATAATTTAGCAATAAAAAAGAACTATAATTAAAAATATAATAGATTATTTATTAATATCTAAATCAAATTAAAGAAGAAAAAAGAAATTTCAAAAA